CTTCTACCAAAAATTCGGCAGAGTTTCCCTTGTAAATTGAACATTTCTCAAAATTTCCACATGTCGACAAACATTTATATAATCCACTCATTCAGCATGTATTAAAGTATACCCAAGCAACTCAAGCATCATATTATTCTAGCCTCAGGCTGCAACAAATCAAATAAATCAATCTGCTAATAAATTTCATCTCAACTTTCAGAACAACAATAATACATGGGCAATCTCAAACATTCTAACTCGTTGCTACACCTTGTAACTATAGGCTGCCTACGTACCCTTACTGAGAGATCAAGCCACACGTAGTTCTTTCATTGCAAAACCACTCTAGTTCTCAAATTTCATCTCAGCTTTCTGTTTCAAGCTTCCTGGCATTTCTCACATGGCAATATATAATCAAACGAAGAAATAAAAGCATTTATATCAAGTAACTATGCTTGGAAAGCCATAACCATCAATTTCTCGTGACACCAATGGTGACACGTCTGGACCTGTAATCCTCGCTGGACTCAGGAGACATCTGATCAACCTAGTCCGCAATCCTCGCTCCCACAGTCCGGATATCTCTAAGACTCATGGGGCAAAATATACTAGAAAAACTTAAGCTATTTAATAATGTATAAAATAATGGAAGATAAAGATAAATAAAGATAGTTTCATATTGAACCAAAAAAGCGAAGGAGAGTCTTCAAACTCGAAACAACGCTTTTACCTCTCATTTTGACGGATAATTTGACAGAGTTGGACGGCAAGACCTAATTGCAACTAATTGTCTAATTAAAGGATGTCATTGCCTCAAAAATTAGTTCACGGACCCAATTGCAAATGGGGCCATAGTTCAAGGACGTCTACAGTAAATAACCCTATGTATCAAATACTTAGCTAGTTTGTTAACCATATCGATCTCTGATTCGCATGTCATTCCAATATTATATTTATAATCTTACAACACAATTAACCATGTGAATATATATAAACAGGTAATAAATAAACAGATAATTAAATACTCATCCCGAAATCACATAAAATCATGAAACTAAAACCATAAATAAACCAATTGACCACTCGCACACACATGAACTTTCCACAAGCTCATACACAAACAATAGAGCTCAACAACAATATTTTATCCGAAACCCTGGCCTTGGGTTCCTACAAGTACGTGCACCAACATTAAGTCATTTTTATGCTCACAAGAGCTTTACTTACATTTGAATTGGTCTAGAAGTGTCTCGGGACTCAAAAGGCGATAAAGTCCCAAAAATTCAACACAGGGCCCCATGGGGTCCACGACCTCCAAAATTTCGATGCGAGAGTTCCTAGAGGTTCTAACATACCTAGGACATATGTCCTTAGAGTCTGGTCTCGATTAGATGGTCGGACTACTCACGATCACACGATCGGACGATTACTATAAACCTAGCTCTAGGGTTGGCCTTTTCGGAGTATCCGGGACTCCGATTCATGATCCATTGAATCCTACACAATCTTGGAATAACCAAGATCAACATATAAGAAATTGACTGCGATCTAATGGTTTAAACGTATCAAACCCGGAAATCACACAATATTCGAGATCCGATCGAGGTTCAAACATTGTCCGAATTGAGATCCGCGACTTTCTACAGACTCGTGACAACACGAGGATCATTCTAGGACTGAATGTGACCTCACTATGCTGCCCATGCGCTGCCACACACGCTGGCAGCGTGTGGGTGGCTTGATCAAACTCTAGCAGCCGGAAAACTTCACAACTGGAATCCCAACCTCCTACCATAGGTAAAACACCCTATTTGGAACCACTTTTGTTCTTAGACCTACCTCGAAAAATGACCGAAAGTGGCCGAAATTTCAAATTTAAATCCGGCCAAACTTTGAAACAAAAATCAGGTTATCTAAACTGGAAATCGGTCAATTCCTACTCAACCATCATCTAGAGCTCATATAATAGATGAAAATCCATACCCGATTTGCCTGAATTGGTGGCCTGATGACGGAGAACGAGGCCAACAAAGTTCTGTCAAAAACCGACTATTCTCGAGCGATTTTCGATGGCCGGAGCTGTTGCTGGGGTCTGGGCTACGGCCGAATAACTGGCTCGGGTGGTGGCGGTCCTAACCTGATCGGTCACGTGGTCGACTGCGACATGTGGCGGTGATGGTGGCTTGAAGAAGCCACGGCTGGAGGAAGAAAAATTGGGGGAGGGCTGGGTCGCCAGGAGAGAGAGAGAGAGAGAGAGAGGTTTTAAAAAATATAATCTAGCAAATTACCATTTTGCCCCTCGACGTATTTTGAGCGTAACTCTCTCAATACAACTTGGATTTGAGCCCACTACATGCCTACGAACTCATTTCATCGCGCTCTGTACAACAACGAAATCAAAATTTCCAAATTAATTTCCAGTCAAAAAGTCAACTTTTAGCCTAATAAAATATTCTAAGGGCATAATGGTCTTTTACTATAATAAATTAATAATAAAATATTAATTTTGGATCGAGTTGTTACAATGTTGCTTGTATTGCTTAAATCAAAGAAGGGTTCATCAAGGGTGACATAGTTTCATAAAAAAGCCAAGAGATTGGAGTTAAACGAATTCATTCATAAGATAATCTGGCGAACCTTTTTACCAAAGCTTTTTCTAAAGCCTAAATTCCAAAAGTTAATGAAAATCAAGGGGAGATATTAATTAGGGGGAGATATCAATCAAGGGAAGCATCCCAATTCTACTACATACAGGACATATGCGCGTTGTACTCTTTTTCCCTTCAACTAGGTTTTTGTCCCACTGGGTTTTTCCTAGCAAGGTTTTAACAAGGCAACATAAGCGTATCCAACACCATATCAATGGTCCAAAAGAAAGTTCCATTCTTTTTCCCTTCGCTTCGGTTTTGTGCCACTAGGTTTTCCAAGCAAGGTGTTTAATGAGGGAACTATGTCATTGTATGGTGGGCATTCAAGGGGGAGTGTTCTAAATGCATGAGTTGATGGATGACCACCATACCTCTTAGTATTCCACCGTTAGATTTTATGTAACCTATGCACTAAGTATTTGTAATTAGTGCTTGTAACCTATAGGTATATTGTAAATGATGGTATTCAATCTCCTATCTTGTAAGCCCATAAATAGGTGGTTCTGCCAAAAATTAAGAAAAGAATAAACATGGTGAAACTTTATCTTTAACATATCACTTCGCTCTACATTTCCTCCTTGTTTATAATATCTATAATATTATCAAAATGTTATTAATTGACAAAAAACAATACACCCATTAAAGACATATTTGTTAAACCGAAACCAAAACTGGATCCATAGTAAATATTTTAAAAATAACTCAATTAGTAGCAATAAAATGTTCCAGTGACATTGAAGTAAATTTTGGTAGTAACGTTGAGCTATAATAATAATACCACATAAATTAGTTTGTAGGTTTTTTATTTTCAAACACTAGCAGTAATTGCCCAAATGTTAGCAACAAATTATAAAATTATAAATGTACCAACAATATTCAAAGAAATTGAAATTGTATAGACAACATGAAAGCTTTAAACTGCATCTACCCAAAACAAATCGTAATTTTCATTTTGAAAATCCAATACAAACACAAAATTTTCAGTCAAAAGTTAAAAGGTATTAAATCAATAGCAGTACATGAAGAAAAGAACTTTAACGTACAAAAGTTTAATAGACATATGGTTTCACAAATATAATCAAACTTATGCCATGATAAAGACGCAACCTAACAAATATGATTTATTCAAAATACAAGTAAGATAATACTTTGTTTACTACAGTTTGAACCAAGTGGCACATGGTAATCTCATCAATCAAGTATTCAATTGAGACTTGAACAACAGTACGGAAAGAAAGTAGTTTTAATTTACAAAGGGTTTAGATTGTTATAAAAATTATAGTTTTTTTCTTTTGTAAAGCCAAATACAAAAACTTTTATATTATAATAACATATAAACAAATTTGAAAGCTATTAAGGTACAATGAAACTAAAGAAAAATAAATTAATAGATAAGTATAAGCAAAATAAATAATAAGAAAGAAGGTGAGTTTGGTACAGTGAAGCACGTCAAAGACGTTGTCTTAAAGCCTTTGTAGCCCCCCTATGTGCAGGTACTGGCGGTCTACAAGACTCCAACATACAACCCCTTATACACAAACTCAAGATCCGCTATGAGCACGTTCATAGATGGATATAGGTATCCAAGTCACATAACCATTGCCCAAAATAATAATATAAAGTAGAGAATATATATAAAAGTAGAAAATTAGAGAATTAGTTTGTGGTGGTGATTGAGGTATGTGATATCCTGATGGTGTATTGTGGTGTGTTCAAATGTGAAGGAGGAGTGGTCTTTTATAGGCATCCAATAACATGTAACCTTCACCAACCAGAAAAGTTCACCAACCAGAAAATTAAGGCATTCAATATAAAAATAAAACCTGAATATTAAATATTAATAACCCCCACAATAAATAAAATAAAACAGCCAAAATAATAAATAAATAAAAATGGTTAAAATTTTAAAACCTTTTTTTAAAATTCCAACAATACATGACAAGCACTAAACTTAACACATAACAAGTAGTGAAAGGAAATTACAACCTTGCATTGATAAATCTCCAAGTAGTTTGGCAAATTTTCCGAAGCAACTACATTCCAAGCACAAAATATACACTTCCAAGCATAAACTTTGTGCACTAGTCTCCAAAATTTACATTCCAAACTAGTCACTAACTATTTGCAACAAAATACCATTCAAACTAGTTACATTCCAAATCATATTCCATCCAGACTAGCGACAAAATGCCAATGGTTATGTGCCTATTTCTGTCTGTTTGCTGGATACTTGAATCTCCTTTTAATAGGTGGAAATGGTTGTGATTAAAGAACTTGTGGAGCAGGTTGTGAGTGCACTTCACTTGGTCCAGCTTATGAATGCACTTGACTTGGAATAAGTTGTGAGTGCACTTGACCTGGTTCAGCTTTTTACTGCACTCGATTTGGTCCACCTCTAGGTCTTAGTTTCCTCACTTTTTCAAAATGACATGCAGTTCAGTACATGAATACATATGTTTTTAGAACCAAAAACAAATAAGATTTTGGAAAACTCACATCAAGTTTAAGTGGTCTTTGCTTCCCTTCGGTTTTTCTAGTTGAGGTAGTTCTTAGAGGCTCCTATAATATGAAGAAAAAGTACATTAAGTACATCACAATTTAATATAGATCAAACTCACAAAAAAACAATAAGCTACCTTGCATTTCAATATGTTATGACCTTCTGCACCACAGTTGCTGGAGTGAAGGGTTGTGTGGTGTATAGGAAGCTTGATAATACTCATCTCTGACTCTTTTTTGTCAAGATTCCCTCCAGCTTTTTCCCTAACAAAAGCTCAAACACACCAAGATTACTCCATTTCCACGACAAAAACTCAAACACCACAAGATTCCCTCCATTTCCACAACAAAAGCTCAAACACTCCAAGATTCCCTCTTCGTTTTGTAAAGATTACCCAAACCCCCAAATCTTCCAACGACGGTTCCCAAATCCCTAGCTGTCCGAACCCAAATTTCAAACTTAGCCCCTTAAAGTCGACAATGAGACTTTTCAGATTCAATCTTGCCCCACGCCACATCAGCCCCACTAATGGGTCATGCTTTGCTCAGCGCATGTGAATACGTGTGTGAATTGACCCACTTTCCTTGCCACACAAGCTAATTTAATGGGTAAATGAGACGACGTTGAGCAGAGGGGGTTATTTTTAGACAGAATGGGAGAATGGGTCATTAAGTGATGAAATTTGAGTTCAAAGGGGTTGAGTGAGACCGAGCTCGAGTTTTAGGGGGTGAAACAGTAAATAGGCCAAAACACAAAGCTTAATAGCCACCCAAAGTCCCCACCCACCAAACCCCGACAGCCCTGCTAGCTAAATCTCATTCCTCTCTCCCTGCTCAAATCAGAAACAATGACCCCTTCATCTTCTGTCTTGGCCTCCTTCAATCCATCAAACCAGTTACAAATTCTCACCGACGAACCCCAAAATCACCCTTGGTTGGCTATCCAATTTTTTTAGATGATTTTAGTGATTTTTCTTCTCAATATTTTGAGTCATCAGATCAAAAAATTTAAATCGACCCATTCAAACATTTGATGTACCGATATGTCAAATGTATATTAGAATTTTCGGCCCTAGAACAAACACCTCCTTCGGGCCCTACGTGAAGATTGTTCGTTTCCTTGTTACTAAGGTACAAAAGTAGGCGTGGGCATAAAAATCAATAAACCGATTGAACCGACCAAACTAACTTGAACCAAACTGCAAAACTAATTTTTTTGACAAAAAAAAAATAGTCAATATCAGAAACTCTGCTACGGTGCTTGATTGAAGGTTTTTTATTATTTGGCTTCAATGGAGGTATTTGATTCAATGCAACTGCATTTTTATTTTTCAGTTGTTTATAACCTCTGTTGCTGCTATTGTTTATAGTTCAATGGAATTGCATTTTTATTTGTTCTCTATTTTTAATATGTTTCTCTGCTTTCAATATGTTTTAATTCTATTTATGGAGGTACTATGATATGTTTTAAGTTAATAAGTGTCTTTACTTTGTTAAAATGGATAGGAACCTACTTCAAATGAGGCTCAAATTAATGCCTATCATTGATGCTTTTGTAACTTGTAGTGATGCCGCTGCATCTCCTACAACAACATCAACAAATCCACCAACATTAATACAACCTAGTCAAAATGGGGCTAGCAATATGCGAAAGCATATAAACACACAATGCTTGCATTACCTTTATAGACACAAGGATAATCACATACAAAAGCTCACTTTTGATCCATCTAAGGGAAATGCTCTTGTTTCTAGGAATTTAAACAAGGATGATTGCCTAGATGCTTGTGTTAGGATGATTGTTCGAGATGAGCTACCTTTTAGCTTTGTGGAGAGTGAAAGGTTTAAGGAATTTTGTAGTTTTGCTTGCCCACAATTTCATCCACCTTCTCGTAGAACTCTTGGAAGAAGATTTCTAGAAATGTACATGAAAATGAAGGAGAAGTTGAAAGTTGATCTTCGTTCACATAGGATACCTTATAACCAATACTTGGACATCAGTTCAAAATGTGAATTACGTGGTGTTGACTGCCCACTTTGTTGATTCCGACTATAATATGCACAAACGAATCCTAAACTTTTGTGTAATTGATAGTAATAAGTGGGACAGCATTGGAAAATTGCTTGAAAATTATTTAATTGATTGGGGACATGAAAATATCCTCATAATTACCGCAGATAATGCGGCTACCAATACTAAGGCAATTGACTATGTGAGGAAGAAAATCAATGGGCAGAAAGATTTGAATAGTGTGTTAGGAGGAGTACACATGCATATGAGATGTAATGCTCATATAATCAACTGGATAGTTAAAGGGTTTGAAGAGATTAGAAAGCTTCATTGTGGCAATCTATAATGCAGTGAAATATCTGAGGTCCTCACCTTCTCAGTTGAGTTACTTTAAAATGTGTGTGGAGACAGACAAAATAGAGTGCGAGGGGTTGGTGGTGATGGATGTTCCAACTAGGTAGAACTCAACGTATTTAATGCTTGATGAGGCATTGAAATTTCGAAAAGCTTTTGATAGGATGGGAGATGATCTCGATTCTTTATACTTAATGTACTTCAAGGAAGAGGAAGGAGAGGAAGAAGAAAATGAAGGCATTGAAGGAAGTGGAAACAAGAAGGGAAAGTTTAAGATTAATAAGAGGGTAGGGCCATGTAGTGATGAAGATTGGGACAATGTCGTGACATTTGTTATGTTTCTGAAGACCTTCTATGATGTTACTTATAAAATTTCATCTTCTTTGCATCCAACATCACACACAACGTTTCATGACTTAATTGTCATAGATTGGGAGATTCAGGACTTGTATAGACATGATGTTACAACTCCTATTGAAGCACTGACAGCCATGGACACACTTTTAAATGATATGGCAGTATTAATGAAAAAAAAATATGATAAATATTGGGGTGAACTTCATAAAATAAACCCATTCTTAGTGATAGGAGTTGTGATTGACCCCCGGTTCAAGCTTCGGAATTTGAAGCACATCTTTGAGGAAATATTTGAACATGATACTATTTGTGAAAGATTGGTGGCTCAAAATACAAATGAGGTGAAACAAATTCTTTTGAATATGTATGAAGTGTATAAGCCTAGTAGTAACAATGTGGGTGCTAGTAGTACTATCAATAAGAGTGGTAGTACTAGTACTAACAATGAAACCGAATCTTCTTTGATCTTTGGAGGTCATAAATAGAAAAACATGATGGAAAGGTGGAAAAAAATTCAACAAGAGAGTGAATGTGGTCCTAACACATGAAATTGATAGGTACTTGTTGGATCCATTTGAAACAATTGATGGTGTGTTTGATATAATAGGGTGGTGGAGAATAAAGGGTCTCAAGCATCCAGGTTCGGCATTAGTTGCAAGGGATGTACTTGTAATCCTTACATCCACAGTAGCTTCAAAGTCATGTTTTAGCACCGGTGAAAGAGTGATTGACTTGTTTCAAAGGTCATTGTCTCTTAAGATGGTTGAGGCTTTGATTTACTCTCAAAATTAGTTAAGGTCGGATGATATATCTTCATTATAATATGTGCCAAATATTGAGGAGATGGAGTTCTATGAATCTATTAAAACATGTAATATTTTCATTTTTATAAGTATATTTGAATATGATTTTTCTTATTTTTCTTGTAGAAATGGTGGGGAGTAAAACGTCCAATGCAAGTTTGAATAAGACTTTCCCTCCCTAGTATGATGAGGATATGTTGGTAGGTTTTTTTATTTACCTACTTGTATCTTATTTTAATAATAATTTGCTAATAGAGGTTTGGTTTTTTTTGTTTTGATGCAGGTTTGGATGGATGCAGCTAGTGTTTTGGAATGATTTTATGATCTTTATATTTTGTAAGGCTTGAATTTTTCGTGGATTTGAATTTGATTTCTTGTTTTGTGTAATTTTTTTTTAATGAGTTGTAAGATGTTCTGTTTCCTTTCCTTGGTTGATGATTGTGATTTGTGAATTTGTCATTGATGATTTAGTTGTTTAGAAACTTAAATTAGAAAGAATGATGGGTTTGCATGATTTGAACTTTTGAAAAACATAGAATTGATTTGGGCCTATTTTAGTAACTATAAATTATGCTAAGTGTTCGACCAAAAAAAAAATTGATGCTAAGTTTTTTAAAAAATGATTTGGGCTTTGAAAAATACTAATTTTGGCTTAAGCCCAAAACTAACTAAACATACAGAACCGACCCATGTATATTCGGATCAGGCCAACTACAAATTTCATTTTCTACCCAACTCGACCCACGAACTGTGAACTTGGACGGTTCTTCTCATAGGTTAGTCCAAATATGACCTGACCTGATCCATGCCTAGGGCTATACAAAAGTGTCAACCTTGATACAACTTTTTCCTAATTTTCCTCTCCATAAATGCAAATACCCAAATGGAGAAACTTGTTGCTACTCAAGAATTCATTGATTTCATCAAATTCTACAGCAACCTGCTTTGCATGATTCCATTCCATTCCAACTTCATGCGTGAAGTGGAAGAACAAATGGACCTTCGTGAGTTGCTTTTCCCCTCATGCCTTTTATGGTAGAAGAATAAATAGATGGATGCCCTTCCATAATTTTCTATTTGTTTTTTGTTTGCTGAAAAAGGCCCAAGTAATTTATGTATTTGTTTCTTGTGATCATATATGCTCAATACTCAATTGAGGAAAGTTTGTACTTTCTCGTAAATTATGTATCCATTTTGTCTATTTGAGGCTTTATATATGATATAGTTAGGATTTGGTGTTAGAAATCAAAGGGGACCTATTTTCAGAAGTAATATGCATAATGAAAGGATTAATTTTTCTTATAACGATAGAGACACGCGCATTGTCTTCAGTCTTTTGAATGCGTAGTTTTTACATTAGTATATTGAAATATCATCTTGTTTATGTGATGATTTCATTTTTATGAGACTCTCCATGTCATAGATTTATTAAAATTGTATGCTTAATTTGTCCTTTTAGTGGTATGCTTATGAACATATTGTTTTTCTTTTGAAGATTCTTAGAGGTTGTGAAGGCAAAAATTTCCATAAGCAATACCTTATATTTGTCGATTAGGGTTCAAAATAGCTGGGGATTTTGGCATTTTGGCAGAGTAAAATGGTTCAATGACAAGATATCATACCTTATATTTGCTAGTATGGGAATCCATGTCAAGTGGAGACATCATGGACTGAAGTTAACCCAGGAAGGAGGTTTCAATTCTGTCGAAGGGTAAGGAATTGACATATTTGTTGATTTTTGTTAGTTTTTCAGTTTGAATGTGTGTTTTTCTGATGTTGATATATGGGTTGATTGATATAGAGAGGAGCAATGGATGTGGGCATTTTGGTTGTTAGTTGGTTTCTGGTTTTGGCTTGGTTTTGTGGTAGATCTCATGTGTTTTAGTGAAAGGAATGGAAATGAAATATTGGAAGCACATGTGTTTTGTGATATATCTCATTTTGTAATGTTACTTGTTAAAGAAATGGAAATAAAACATTGGAAGCACTTTGGTAAATTACAACCTTGCATAGCAGTTTGGTCATTTTTCCCTAAGCAACTTAATACATAACAAGCACTAAACTTAACATATAACAAGCAGTGAAAGGAAATTACAACCTTGCATTGATAAATCTCCAAATTACAAGCAGTTTGGCAACTTTTCCTTAAGCAACTAACATTCCAATCACAAACCTTATGCAATAGTCTCCAAAATTTACATTTCAAACTAGTTACCGACTGTTTGTAACAAAATAACAATTGTTTGCAACAAAATACCATTCTGACTAGTTACATTCCAAATAAGTTTTCATCCAAACTAGCTACAAAATACCATCCAAGTACAAAATACCATCTAAACACAAAATACCAATGATTATATGCCTATTTATGTATGTTTGTTGGATACTTGAATCTCCTTTTAACAGGTGGAGATGGTTGTGATTGAAAAACTTGTGAAGTAGGCTGTGAGTGCACTTCACTTGGTCCAGCTTGTGAATGCACTTCACTTGGAATAGGCTTTTAGTGCACTTGACTTGGAATAGGTTATAAATGCACTTGACTTGGTCCAGCTTCTGACTGCTCTCGATTTGGTCCATCTCTGGGTCTTAGTTTCCTCACTTTTTCAAAATGACATGCAGTGCAATATGGGAATACATATGTTTTTAGAACTAAAAACATATAAGATTTTGGAAAAGTCAAATCAAGTTTAGGTGGTCTTTGCTTCTTTTTGGTTTTTTAAGTTGAGGTAATTCATAAAGGCTCCTACAATATGAAGAAAAAGTACATTAAGTTCAACACAAATATATATATAGATCAAACTCACACAAAAAAAAATGCTACTTTGCATTTCAATATGTTATGACCTTCTGCACCACAGTTACTGCAGTGAAGGGTTGTGTGGTATCTAGGAAGCTTGTGAGGATTGTGGTTTTTCTTTGGTTCATCAACTACTTTCTTCCTACTCTTTCTTGGCCTTCTTGTATGCTTATGATACAAAGGCACCAGTCACCCCAACTAATTGTTCCACCCATGTAACACCAACCAGTCTTTACTTCTACCAACTTACCCCCATAACAAACCATCCACGTTAACAAAGTTTCATGATCTACAACAATCAATATTCAAATAAAAGAACCACATTCACCACACCAATGGAATAAAAAGGATAGCAAGGGACCACAAAGTCTTTTTATCTTAGCAACATTACAAAAACAATACTAAAAAACTAAACCAATATTCATTTTTATGTTGTTTATGCTCTTTGGGTTGCCGTTTCACCGATTGTGTTCTTTGTTGGTCTCTCTCTCACAAACAGTTATTAGCAATTCCAATGGTTGTTTTGATTTTCAAGATTCATGGAAGCAGTTAGAGCAGTTTATGAAATTCATGTTACCCCATTAGTCCAACAGTTGGTTTAATTTTTCAAATTTAAGAGATAAGTTAAATTTTTTAGCAGTTATTATGTTTTTTTGTTGTTGTGTTCTTCCTATGTTATATTATATGATTGGCCTTTATTTGTTTTAGTTTGTTTGCTTGAGTGACTTTTGAAGTTTGTTTGCTAGAGTGGCTTTTGAAGTTTGTTTGGGTTAATTCAGTGTTGGGCTAGCTTAGCCCACATGACTATGTTTTTACTTATTTTTTAAGTTTTGGCTTGGCATGTCTTTACTTCGATTTTCCTTATTTTGTTTTGTGTAGGGCAATGTATAAAATATCGAGGGTTTTGGAAATATCGATGGTCCAAAAACACGGATCTATTGATGGAAATATTGAGAAACTATCCATATTGGTAAAAATTGAATGAAAACTAGTGTTGGCATTTTGGACCTATATACCTCAAAATCGCAGTTACCGACCGACTATTCATCGCAACCAAACCATCATCGCCATAAAACTGACCGCAATTTGTGATTTTTTGAACCGACTGGACTGTGCGGTTGTCGATGCGGTTATGAAAATCTCAACTTTGTGGTATACTGCGATACCGCAAATAATTCAATTAATAATTTCATTAAATATTTTATATTCACTAACAACCATTAGATGAATCTAACGGCTAGGATTTCTTAGTTTCAATCAATCCTAGTCATCAGATCAATCATTCACGCATTTCATCTCTCTCTCTCTCTCTCTCTCTCTCAACTCGTCGATCTCACTTCTCTCTCGCAAACCCTTCGTGAAAACACCACAGACCTCGTCGCCTCTCTCTCTCTCTCAACCAATGTTGCCGCCTATCTCTCAAGCAACGTCATCGCCTCTCTTAGTCACTCATCATCGTCGCCGCTCTCAATCTCTTAGTCCACCTTGCCACCTTGTCTCAGTCACTCTCCATGCCATCTCTTTCTTCCGGCAAGACACTCATCAACCTCACCACCTCCCTTAGTAGCTCATCATCGTCTCTATATCCTTATTTCCTCATTTTTAGGTAAATTTTTTACCCAATTTCTGAAATTGAACTTTCAAACTTTGAACTTCGAACTGGGGTTTAATTTAGCAATTATGTTTTGTTCATTATGTTTTAAAATAATTTGTTAACTATGTTTAGGATATGTTTTAGGGTTAATTAAATTGTGAATAGATTGGTGCTGAGGGTTTAGGGTTAATGTGAAGGGAGTTTCACTAAAACACCCAAAATGGAGGTTGAAATTATAAAAAAACCCAACACCCAAAACACTTTATAAACACACCCAAAACCCATCATTACACACACTCAAAACCCATTTATAAACACACCCAAAAAGTTGACTTTGGGGTTGATTTTGGGTGTGTTTCTATGTTTAAATAGTGCTTGGGTTTTTTTATAAATACATGTGTAGGATTGGGTTTATTTATAAATTTGTATAATGTGAATTGATTGGATATGTTTTAAAATGTGAATTGAACAGATTCTGTTTTTAAAGTATAATTTGATTATGTTGGTCTATTTTTGAGTTTAATTTGACAGAGTTTAGGCTGTTTAGGGTAATTAAATAGTTCAACTGAATTGATTTTGTTTTGGACCTTTAATTTGATTGTGTTTACATTGTTTAGGCTGATTTTGAGGGTTTCAATTAGGGCTTCGAATTGGGAATGGAATTGGGAATTGTGAATTATGATTTTCCATTGATTTGGTTTCTGTTTTTTAGTTTAATTTTTAGTTTTGTGTTTTAATATATTAATATGCTTCTATGATGTTCTTCCTATTGTGTTGTGTTTAATAGATGAAGTTCAGCCACTCTAACACACCTATTGCCTCCAATCCCCAAACACAAACCGAAACACCCGAAACACAATCTCCAACTCAAACACAACATCCCACACACGAGGGGATTATTGTGGGAGATAAGAGGAATGCCCTAAAATCAAAGGTGCAATTACATTTCACAAAACAAATAAAGAATGATGGTAATGGGGTAGAGAAGATTATAGGGGTTTGCAATTATTGCAAATTGGAGATGTCAAGGGACCCTAAAAAAATGGGACAACGGATTTAAAAACTCACATAGAGAGGAGATGCAAGCTCTCTCCTCTCAATCAACAATGTGATGCAAATCAACCTACCTTGACTTCGAAAGATTGTGAGGTTCATTCATTAAGGATGAGCATCATTTTAGAGTCGTTGAGGGCTCGGGTTTTAAGGAAATGATGCATGAGGTGCAACCTCGGTTGAAGATACCAAGTAGGAAGAAAGTTACCGAGGGGGTGCAAGAGTTATACATACTTGAAAAGGCAAAGATAATGAGTGTGATTAGTGAGCAAAGAGTTAGTATTACAACGATACTTGGACATCAATCCAAAACAAACATGGTTGTGACAGTTCACTTTATGGATAGTGATTGGAACTTGCACAAAAGAATAATTAGCTTCACAAAGATCAGTAGCCATAAGAGCATTGACATAGGGAAAACCCTAGATGAATGTTTGACGAATTGGGGTATACACAAGGTGTTCACAATTACCGTTGATAATGCTTCTACCAATGATGGAGCGGTTGAGTACATGGCACAAAGCCTAAATGCAATGAATACCTTAAGGTTGGATAGGAAGTACTTGCACTTGGAGGAGCTTTGAGGTTGTGAATAAGTTTATATTTTTAGGCAATGTGCCAGACCCAAGGATGAAGCTTCAAATGCTCTAAATAAGCTTTGGCAATCTTGGGGCAGATGCTAGAAAGCGAGATTAGATTGTTAATGAGGTTGTAAAGTGTTTGAATGATTTGTATAATGAGTATAAAGGAGTTGGAGGTGATGTTGTGAGCCAAATTGATGAGGATGAGGTTGCACAAATTGGTGAGGATGTGAATGCCACATTTCAACAAATGCAAAACTTGTGCAAAAAAATGAAGGATGAGCAACCCGTTGAGATATCCAATGAAGTGAATAAGTACTTGGTGGATCTTTTTGAGAGCCCTTTTAGCAAACTATTCAATCTCTTGAATTGGCGGAAAGGGAACTAAACAAGATATCCAATTCTTTCACAAATTGCCAAGGATATCTTTGCAATTCCAAGTTCTATGGTTGCTAGTGAAAATGATTTTAGCCTAGGCAATGGTAGAGGTATTAGTGTGTACTTGTGATTGGCTTAAGGCGGACGAATTTTTATTTTACAAGGAACCCACTGATAATGAGATTGAATTCTACAAGGAAATGGAATATGTTACAACTTGTAAGTAATTAGTTTATTATTTTCATGTTCTTTATGCTTCTTATAATTCTTTTTTACTAAGCTTGTGTTGTTTTATTTGTAGATGGTGGCCATTCATAACCGAGTCCTTCAAATCCACTCACCACCAACACTTGAGTTCTCTATGTTTTGTAACTTTAATTAAATTTGCATTGCATTTTTTTTTTTGGATTGTAATTTTAAATAAATTTGCATTGCGTTTTTCGTTTGGCTTGTAACTTTAATTAAATTTGCATTGCATTTTTCTTTTGGGTTGTAATTAAATTTTAACTTTATTTGCTCGAGTTAAAATTTGCTTATTTAGGTTGTGAGTTTATTTGCTTAAATTTGTAAAGTTAAAATATTTGGACTCAAAATGCTTCAAAACTAGGCCAACAAAAGTATGGAAAATATTACATTTTTTTACTCAAAAAAACCCAATTTAAAACCCAAAATGTTGAAATTTTGGCCCAAAACGCCCCAATCGGAGAAACCGCATTTTTCCCGGACACTAACCGAGTTACGGTTTCACCGATACATGGTTAACTGCGAAAACTTGGCCGATTTGTGGTCCCAAAATAGGCCATACCGCAAATACTCTTGTGGTTTTCAGTTTTCCCCAAAAATCACACTTACCAAACTGCATCCACCTCTAATAAAAACCATGGAAATTGTGATAAAAACTTATAAATTTTTATTGAAACATTAGAGGATGTTTATTCAGTCAATTGTCTACTATTTTATCACTATTTATCATTTTTCTATATAGTTTCCTTGCTTTTGTCAAAAGCATGTAGAAAGTTTAAGAGAGAATATAAAATGGAATGTTGTGGTATCTAGTTTCTAGTTTCTTATGCATGAGCAGCATGTTGGATAGAGCATTTCTAGCAGTGCAACCCAAGGGGAGAGCTTTTGTGGGTTGGGGCGGGCGGGGGTGTGGTTTGGGGCCATATTTATCTGGTGAAAATATCCAAATGGATCGGATTTTCCAACAAAAAAGAAGGCCGGGCAAATGGTGGAACCTAGCAAACTGGGCTGGCTTGAGGGCAAGGCTAGCTTGTGCGCTTGCCCGAGTTTTACGCTGACGTCAGCCTTGGTGTTCAATTCATGCGCAAACGTTAAAAAAAATTTGAATGCGCCGCTACAGTACCGCCAACGGCTCTCTTCCACGCGTTGCACTCTGGGCTCTCCGATTAGATTTTTTCCTCCAATCCAACGACAACAAATTTTTGTGCAATAAAAGAAATTTTTTTTTAAATACTGAATTTTTTTTCTATAAATACCAACCAATACTCTTCACTTTTGACACCAAATCCTCATATATTTTCTTGTCCTTCTACTATTATTCACTTTCTACTCAATATTTTTTTCACTTTCAAGTTTTATTTTATTGGTTGTATTGATTTTCTTTTAGTGAATAAAGAAAACATTCAATAAAATTCCTTTTTATATGAATTTTGAAATTTGAAATTTATCTGAAATTTGAAACTGAAAATATTATTTTATTCGATTATGAGATATGAATAGTATTGACACTTAAGAAACCAAAAATCTTATCCGAAAATATTATCCAAATTAATTGGTTAGGTAAAAAAAGTTGTGAAAAAAAACAAAAAATGAATAGTAGTTGCCATGACAAATGGCAACTGCTAGAAACACACATTGCTTTTTGCAACAGGCAGCCGCCCCAGCCACACCTCGCCCCCCCCCCCCCCTCTCCCTCTCCCCCCATGGCAAGGGGGCAAACTACTGGAAGTGCTCTAAGGTCGGACAAGAAGATGGGGAGTGGAAGGGTTTCAAATCCCTCTTTGTGCGACAACGGTTTAACCATTTTTCAATATCTTTTACAGTATGTCCACCCCAAAAGGCTAAGGCTAAGGTAAGGGCTGCTACTATTCATGTGAATAGTGGCAACCTTACCTTTTTTGGTTCCACCCCAAAGCGCTAGTGCAAGGGAAAATACTATTCATTGTACTTTATTTCCTTTTTTTTATATATATACTTTAAATCATTAATTTTGATAAACTTTTCTGATAATATTTTTAGTTGCCACGTGTGACTATTTATTACAAAATTCGAACCCAATCTTTGACAAAATTCTCCATGAATTTTGCTCCACATATGAGAGAACTTCATCTCATTGCCCTGTGACAGGGCAATGACTAACGTTCACCCCAGACTGACACTACACAATATCTTCCTGACTTGTCCACACGCCTCCGGCTTCAACAGAAGATGTCATTTGTTTTTGATACAAATGGAAAATAGTAGAAAAATGTGAGTGGAAAGTAAAAAATATTGGAAGGAGAAGAGTTTGTATGAAGATTTGGTGTGGAAAGTGAATAAAATTGTTAGGTATTTATAGGGAAAAAAATCCATAATTTTTTGGTTTTTTTTTCAAAAAACAGAATTTTTTTGAATTTGTTTAAAAAAAAAAAAACAAAAACAATCGGAGTATCCAGGAAGAGCCACGTGGCCATTTTCCATTAGGTTCTGTTAGGGATGACGTCAATGGTGACGTCGCGCTGACGTCATTGAACGGAAGTCAAATTTTTTTATCTTTGGCTCATGAAACTCACACGCCAACAGTAAAAAAAAATTGGGAAATGACCCTCAATGCCACCCCTTTAATAATTTTAACTAAAAATACCATCCCTTCCCAATTTTTTTATAACTATCAACTATAAATAGAAAATTATTGTACCCTTATTGCTCTCCTAACACATTTTCTGAAATTGACCTCCCGCCCATCAGCTCTCCGTCGCTCAGTCTCTTCATCTTCACTCTCTGGTCACTCTGCTCTCACTCTCTCGTCTCTCAGCTCTAACTCTCTCATCTATCGTCGCTCAGCTGTCACTCTCACTTCTGTCTTCCTCTCCCAGCGAAATCTGTGCATCGAAGAACAACGCCATCATTCACAGCAAACAGGTACTGTTCATCGGAATTCTTTTATGGCTTAGGGTTTATGGGTTTGTTTGAAATTGGTTGACGGGGTTGTTTGAAATTGGTTTAGTGGGTTTTCTGAAATGGGTATAGGGTTTAGGGGTTTCACTAAAATTGGTTTTGCTTTAACTCTGTTTGCTAACTTAAGGGCTTGCATATTGGATATGGATAAGTTCTCTTTGTTTTTCATATTCTCTTGTGATTATTTGGAATTTCAGTTTGGGGATGAATATTCAATGTCTAAACAAAGGGCAAGGAACCATATGTGGTGTAATATGAGTTCTTTAAAAGTTTGTTGTTTTGTGCTTGATCATTGTATGCTTAAAACAAAGCGGGAAATGAGTGAAGATGGGAACATGCCACCAGCAGGTGTGGTTTAGAGAAATGGGGCCATGGATTTTGCTATAAGCTAACTCTTTAAGCTTTTGCTTGTCCTTTTTGTGTATGGATAGTTAGACAACTCTGTTTATGAGGTGAACTTTTAATTTTTTAATTGTACATGTGTAAGAAACATTTTTTTACAGTTTTGATGGTTTATTTATTCATTTATCTTTGATATTGATAACACATACAATACATACAAACCTCTGATTTTGTTAAGGAAAAACTGAAGGGATGGTGCCAATTTCATTAATTTCCTTACATTTGAAAGGAGGGCATATTGGAGTCATGATTGTGGTTGCCACTAATTGATAGGATGTTCCATGACATTATACGTTGAAGTCAATAAATTGTTTCCTGATGTCTTCTTGTTGAATTGTTCTGAATTAGGCTTCTGCTACTGCACATTCCTATTGTAGCTTAAGCTGTCATGATTATCTGGTGTTTGGAGATGTGTGTGTAGATATTTAGTTAATTGTCAATGATCATGTAAGGTAAAGACTTAAATCCTTGTGAGACAGAAATTGGAGTGAGAGACAAGTAATTTGAAGGACACATGAAAAACTGAGTGAGAGACAAGTAGTTTAATGGCATTTTTTAGGAAGCCTTGTGAAGAGAAAATATAAAAGAAGGAAGTGGGGAAAATATAATGGCACTCTCTCTTTCTCTCTTTGCAGTCAATGTTAGGGTTTGTTGAGGGGGTTCTTGAAGGTGAAAGAGAGGGTTGCTTCGTTAAATGCTCTCTCCCTTCAACAATCTCTCAGTTCCCTCTCTTTTCATGTTTTCAATGGACGTCTTTCTCTTCTTCTCTGCTCTTTCAGGGCCTCAAAAAACCCAAATTCTTGGTTTCGGTTCTGACTTTTTTCACATACTTCCTCCTCATTCTCAATCCTCTCACAGACAGAATTCCAGCTTTTGTTTAGGTGTTTCTGCGATTTCCAATTCGGGTCTGTGTGCAAAACGAGTGATTCTAAGGTAGGTTTTGTATTTGTTATTGACTAGTTTGTCTTTTTGTACGGTTTTCATTTGAAAAGGATAATTTCACTAACCTGTGACTGATTTTGTGAAGTTTAGTAATTAGAGAGATTGCAAATTTCTGTATTTTAACTGTGAATTACTTCATGCTTGGATGAAACTTCTATTGGTCTGATTGATTTTCATGCTATGGATGACGAAGTGCCTCAAGTTGCTATTTGTCATGTAGGATTGGTTCGTTTGTGATGCGTGTTTTCAGTTTCATTTTATGATGCATATTTAGTGTGGGAATTTATTGTGGTTCATGTGCTGTAATTTGTGTTTAATTTTCACTTAATATCCTATAATAGGCCGTTGAATTGTGTATTGCTTGTTATTGTCCAGATTGCAACGGACTGAATTTTTCTTAATAATAATGCCGTGCAGGGAAACATGGTTTCGCCAATTAAGTTGATGATTGGAGAGGAAGAAAAGTTCCAAGGAAAAGCATTGGCGCTATCCCATACAAAGAGTGCAATAAGTACGATAAAAGAGAAATTCAGTGAGCAACAGCTACGAACCTTCGAACAGAGTTGTTTTGGGCATCTCCTACTCATCGAGGACCTGAAGTGGACGTCGCCAATTGTACACGGATTGTTGCTGAGGAAAGCTGATCCGAAGACTGTTTCCCAAGTGAACGGGATCAAATTCATTGTTGGCAATAAGGTGATCCAATTCACACCCCAGCAATTTTGCGTCGTCACAGGGCTAAGGTTTGGAAACCTTCCCTTTATTCCGATTCCCAGTAATGACAACTGCTCATTGAAAAGGAAGTATTTTGGCAACAATAAAACAGTGAGCCTGTTGGAATTAGAAAAAGCCTTCCGCGACTGCGCTGATGCGGATGATGCATTGAAGCTCGGCTTTGTATACTTCGCTGTGTTTGTGCTGTTGGGCAGTGAAAAACATGTCCACATTGACATGCGATATTTGAAGTTGGCGGAAGACCTTGAAGATTTTGGTAAATATCCATGGGGTGCTGTGTCTTATGCGAAGACAAATGCGTCACTGCTGAGGGCACTGTGTGCAGATTACCAGCGAGTGAAAGGGCCGAAAAAAGCTTCGAAAACAAAAAAATCTGAAAAGCAAGTAAAGACAACGGCAACCGGTAGACCAAGAGAGTACCACCTAAAGGGGTTTGCCTTTGCACTTCAGGTGAGCACATTTCGATTCCTGTTGAAGTTAAATATCATTTGTTTACAGTAATGGGTTCTAAAACAGTAATGGGGGAGAGAGAGAGAGAGAGAGAGAGAGAAATTGAGAGCTGCATTGGAGGAGCTAAAACATCATTTGTTCATGTTTATTTTCTGTAATTATTACTTATTTGGGGGATTGATTGGTTTAGTTGTTGAAGGATGAAGACGAATAAAAGGAACTCTGTCCACTGTTATTGTTTTTTGACAGATTCTTTTGACTAATGATATTGTGTTTGTGTGTGTGTGTTGATAGATATTTTGTGTGAGAGAGAGAGAGAGAGCGAGAGAGAGAGAGAGAGAGAGAGAGAGCAAATTGGGTGGCTGTTCTGGGCGGCTGTGGTATTTAAAAAAAGAATTCTACAAAGAAATATAATAATTTGCAAAGTTAAAAAATTGATGGGAAAGGGGAGAAACATTCAAGGGAGGGGGTCAGGGGTAGAAGGGAATTCAAGAATAGAAAATGGACAGAAGGTTTTATTTTATTTAATTAGTAATATTATTCTGTTTTTGCTGAATATTATATCATTAATATTGATGATGAGCCCCGTGTTTTTCTATCAACAACCCTAAGTTAACACTAATGACCTCATTATAGAAATAAGTTGTCAGAAAAACAAGTTTACATTTTCACCCCTTTATGTAAGTGGGGGATATTGGATATTAGGAAATAATCTGTTTTTCCTGATTTGTGTTGAATGCTCTTAGACTAATGACTAATGTGGCCCGAACCACTTTTAGCCTCTATGCATCTCTACATGGCTGTATTTCGTTTAACCTTTGTCAATCATAGGGCAAGGTTTAGACTGCAATTAATACATGCTAATTATTTCTCTTTATTGTATTCTTTGGCTTTTCATGCCCTATTTAAGGTTATAGCATGTGATCTCTAAGGCTTTTCTTCCTGAAACCAGATTTGGGCTTATGAGGTATTTCCAGCGTTGGCTGCACTACATTTGGTGGTGCACGAACATAATGCCTACATCCCTCGTATACTACATTGGAGGAGCAACACTTTGCCGCGTTTTTATGAGCTCATGAGCCAAGTCTTCGAAAACCGTGAGGTTAGTTCAGTTTGTAATGATAATCTTAGGCATATGAAAATATAATTTTATAAGTTTACTGATATTTCTATTGTCTGCGTAAATTGCAGGTTGATGTGCAACTTATCCGGCCATTTGTAATTGACAAGCAGCAGGCGTATTGGACTTGGGGTGACAGTGTTGACAACACTGAAGAACTTGTTGAGTTGGTTGGCGATGACGCTGAACAAAAAACCAGCACGTCTGCCTCTGTAGAAGAAAAAGATGAGGACATTGAAGAAACTGCTAGCCTTCCGTCGTCTTCTAAGGCAAGCATTACCTATTTTCCAATATTCCAATATATATGTCATAATACAATAGGAAATGAACTGCTGTTTTGTTCCGATATATTTTGGAAATATTGTAACACTTGCATTATAACTGATTGCAGGGTAAAATGGCGTCCACTGAGTTACGCACTTTGAAGCGTGACTTTGAAAGGATGAAGGATGAATTCGCCAAAGTTGTCAGTTCAAATCGAGCGCTTCACAACAGAGTGCATGAGTTGGAAGAAATGGTACGGAGGGAGTCATCCAAAGTTGAAAGAAATAACAAGTGTGTGGAGGATTTGCGCAACACAGTGGCATCAATGGAGCATTATTTTAAGCTGGAGCTAGAGCAGCTGCGAAAACAAGATGGTGGGGTGAAAGAAGCTGGGGAAGGACATGAGGACCTCGATACTCCTCATATGAATGAAGGAGGTGACAATGAATTGTCGCCATTACATGACAATGTCACTCCGCCCACAAAATCGGCAGCAATGGCAACACAAGTCCCCAGTGATGGAGCCGAACCTTCCGCAGCCATGGTCACTCCAGTTCCTGACTTACAAGTGCATGAAGCAGCTGCGCATGCACAATCCGAGAAGCTGCCTACCCCGGAAGATGTGGCCGGGTGTGACGAAATCTGCCAAAGACTTATGTTTTTGTTAGAAGATTGGAAAATAGCTGACAGAGTGCCATCGGGAGGTCCGATGAATCCTCCAAGTATACCTACAATTAGTATGGCTGCTGATGAAGAAGGTAGTTTGAGTGTTGAAAAAAAAGAAGTGGAAGGTAAAGGCTGTAGACAGAAGCGCCCGGCCCAGACATTATTAAGTCCATTTACTGATCCTTTGAGGAAGAAGAGGACAATGAGTGTGTCGGATGCGACTGCAACCCCGCCATGTTTTGATCCATCAAAACCGCTGCCCATTGAAGATGTGAAGGCAGTAATAGATTTTTGCACTGCCTGGAAAAACGATATCAGGTTCGCATTCTTGACCTTCGAAATCCAATTGTCATCCTATTAATATGCATGTGTATATTTGTCATCAACAAAGTCAGATTTATGAGATGAGTACAAACGTAACCGTTCCAAGTTTGCCTTTTCTAGTGTGCAGGTGCAGCTTGAAGCATTTTCAGTGGGCGCTGATTTTTTCTACAAACTCATCGATGAAACGGCATGGATTAGCTCAAGGGTAAGAATACACAAATCTCTACTTTATTATGATCATTCAATTGTTTTCTCACCTTTTTTAAGTGTACAATTGTCTGAAAATGTGCTGATATTATATGTCAACTGTCAGCACCTGGAAATGGCAACCTTTCTTATCCGGAAACGGCAACTCTCTCATCCGTTGCTATTTGGAACCGACTGGACAACGGCAGATTATGCCTTGCAGGTACACTTTTTACCATGTTACATTCACTGCTTCATTTGCTTTCCCTCGTCATTATGTCATATGGTTTCATTTCAATGTCTGCAGCAATTTCTAGAGCCGTTAAAAGCGACTGGCAAGACACGTGGATCGAAGAAGGCAGCAGCTTCAAACACCAGTGACCTTCCAGCCAACAAGCTGAAGAATGTACATCACTTTGTGCACGGTACGTGGCAACACGGGTATGCCCAAGCTTGGAAAAAAGTCCGCAGAGTGTATTTTCCATATAATCTTCGAGAGTCCCATTGGGTTGCAATCGAAATTGATTTCGTCCGACATACTGCAACTGTGTATGACTCATATGTTGATTATACCAAATCTTCGAAGCTGGTTACACTTCTGCAACCTGTTAGCGATACGCTTGCACGAGTGCTGTACAATATGAAGTTTTATGAAGATTCTGAGGTTGAAGAGGTGAAGCAAAAGGGGCTGCAGATGTCGAGGTTTACGCCTTTCTCAGTTTGCATCATTGGAGGTGTGCCACAACAACGAGATGGGTAAGAATTGTGAATTTAGTTCATTTTTTCAAAATTTTACATAAATGCAGTTGTAATTTCCCAACTTATTGGCCTCACAGTACGTCTTGCGGAATCATGACCGTTCAATTCATCGAGCATCTCAGTGCTGGGCTTTCGGTGCATAAAATTGACCCGTCGAAGATCAAATATTACCGACTGAAGCTTGCAATAGAGGGGTTAAGGGGGGAGGCATATTTATGAGGTAAATGTCTTCATGTGTGTGAATTGACTAGGGTTTTTATGAGTTTGCATTTGGTCAACTAGGGTTTTTATGAGTTTGTTTATTTATTTAGGAGCTTGTGTCTTGTTGCTGAAAAAATTGATGGATTTGTGTTTAGGAGCTGGTGTGTCATATGTGTAACATGAAACCACTGCAAGAAATTTTCAATAAATTTGGTTTGTTATACCCGAATTGTCTTCTTAATCTGCATGATTGTTCTGGTTTTTATGAGCTTCATTGTGTTCAATTTCAGTTTTACTTAATTGCTGTGTGACGTGGTTGAAATGGGTTTTATCCACCACTTTCTCTACATAAAGTTTTTAAGTTTGTTTAGATTATTAAGAATTAAAATTTTTCTTGTTTGAATATTTCTTTAGCCTGCTGGATTGACACCTGTTATATTGATAGTTTGCACTGATCTGGTTCGTGGTGCAAAGGACAAGAGGCTCCGGGTTAAGGGACCCGTGAGAATGCCAACCAAGGTTCTGCACATTACCACCAGGAAGTCTCCTTGTGGTGAAGGTATGTTTCACTGTGAAATGTTCTTGTTGTTAACTTATGGCTTTATGGGCAAGGCTTATGGCTTTTATGGCCATTTAGTCAGAGTTTGGAGCTCCCTTGTTTGTGCCAAGTTACATAAGTAAAATTTGTTGCTTATTGTAGTTTATTCATAACTGACCAGTTATTGAAGTACAATGTCTCTGCATTTGCATTTTAAAGGGTTATGTATGTATCTTTAAATTGTGTTTGTGATTTACAGGTACCAACACATGGGACAGATTTGAGTTGCGTGTCCACAAGAGGGTGATTGACCTCTTCAGTTCACCTGATGTTGTCAAGCAAATTACTTCCATTACAATTGAACCTGGTGTGGAAGTGGAGGTTACAATCGCAGACTCTTAAACTGGACCCGTTTTCAGTGTAGCCTTCCTACTTTAAAATGAGCTTGTTTGTTGTGTTCTAATCTTGAATTTAAAGACTTGGTAGTGTCGTTTGCAATTTTCTTGAGCTGTTGTTTTGATATGATTATGCACTCCCATGTTTTGATGTTAAATAGAAGTACTTTAGCGTCGTTTCCTTCCCATTGATGCTCACTGTGGAACGGAGAAATGTTCTCCTGTTATACTTTATTCTGGTTGGATTGAGATTCCGATTGTTGTCGTTGAACCCAAAAAAACCTAAACCTGTTTCATAATTTTTGTTTCTGGAACTCCCATTCATAAACTCTATCTATGTGTGTCATATGTGTGTGCCAGTTGTTTTTGCAGGTCCGTCTCAACCAAGTGTTGATTGCAATATTCTAAAGAAGATGACCATACACTGTTATTTGATGTAGGCATACGTATGAGATGGCTTAGCTTGAATTGGTTTGGTTGTTCCAAGTTGTATGTACACAATCTCAGAGTCAGTACCGAGTTGGTTTACATTTCATGTATTTGTCCGTGGTTTTTTTCCCCCAATATTATGATTATGGAGATGAAGTAAATATTAATGTGGACTTTATAGCATGTTTAGTTTCTTTTATGGCCTTAATTCTGTGAGAGATGCCCTTATGATGTCAAACAAACGGTTTTGACATACATGTTTTGAAATAATTGAAATCACACCGTTTATTATTATTATTATTATTATTATTATTTTTGTTTCCTGCTCGGAGAAGAAGCAAAGTGGTTACAAATATGAAAGATTCCGAATCAGTTTTCTTCTGTCAAATTCCGCATGGAGCTAGAGGTCTACGGTACCATCCAATGAGACTTGACAAAAAATTTGTATTTTTCTTCTTACATTTGTCATAGATAAGATTAAATGTAACCACTAATGAACTGATCCCTTTATTTGTTATTGTTTATTTATTCCAATTGCGTGTGCATCACATGGAAATCTTAGGATTTCTTTACATCAAACTGCCTCTTAAGAGTCATGAGAAGAAGAAGAGGAAGAAGAGAAAACAGAAGGACCTAGCTGGAGCTTACAAGTAATTAAACTAAAGTTCATTTAGTTAAAGTCAGGGGAAGAAAACATGTTTATGGCACCCTAAACCAGGCAAAACACTGGTGTTGGAAGGAGATGTAAAAGGGTTATTGTGCATTCCATTGGCCAAGCTTGAATTGATTTTCTTTTCTATTGTATTTGACCCTTCTTTTCAAGCATGCCAAAAATCATCCTGGTTTTGTAAGATGTGGTTTGAGCCCAATGAATTTACCGTGGCTCTTGCATTTTTGTACCCAATATTTCAAAGCTGCCTTCTTTTGAAGGACGATTCATTGAGGGAGAGAATTACTTTCCTTTTGAATATGAATCGATGTGCAACTCCAACTATCATTTCAAAAGGAAACATCAATTCATGGTAATATAAGGATGGATAACAATTGTCCTGTCCGTGATATTTGAATTGAGGATTACTTTGAACGAAATGGAGACTGTTATTAGACCAAATGGCATTGACATACGATGTAATAGCAATATTAGGCCAATATACTTCACTGTAGAGGCAATATTAAAGCAATATAAGTACAATACCATAGGGATATGATCACAATATACTTCTCATAGGGTGGCAATATACATACAATATGTATACAATACGAAGGCAATATTAAACAATATACATACAATATGTATACAATACGAAGGCAATATTAAGCAATATACATGCAATATGTATACAATACCAAGGCAATATTAAGCAATATACACGCAATATAACAGCAATATGAAGTGAATCTACATACAATACACACACATCCAAAAAGTACGACTACATTTGACACATGCAAACCAAATCGCCTCCGAACCTTAACAATCCTATTCCGCGAAGGAAAACCGAAGGCACCAAAAGATCCATGTAATCGGGTGAGATGAACTGCAGCAGCACTTACCCTTACTACAGGTCCATGAAAAGATCAATGTCTTTGGGCTTTCTCCTCGCTGCATGCACGAGGCTATGATGAGCCATTCCCTCAGCACCCATATTCAGCACCTGCCAGACACCAGGTACATCAATTTCACTCCAATTGTAGTCTGGTGAGATGACCGACGCATAATCTCGGAACATTTCGAAGCCGTTGTTGAAACATTCAACCATTTCATGGTTATATTCTTCAGATTTGGTGAATTTATCGACGGCATTTTTCTTTATCTCTTCCAATTTCAACTTCAACGACTCTAACTCTTTGCTCCGACTGTTTGCTTTTAAAGTTTGCTTCACTTCTCCAGCATATGCTTTGTTCAACTTGTTGGCCAAATTTCCCATAACTTGGCCATGAATATCACATTTAGTCTCCCACCAATCTGTTGCCTTAGACAAATATTGGAGGTCGTGCTTGACGGCTGAGATTTTGTCAAGCGGATCACTGCTCTCAGCCTCACTTCCAGATGAAGTGGGATCATGATTGGGAGTCGGAGGTGGAGATGGGAATGGCACATGCCATGGCTGGTCCCCCGGGTAACTGCCATGCTCGTTTGGAGGGCGTACATCCGACATCTTGAACTATTGATGGGGACAATTCACACCTGGCGACTGAATGTTTGCATTTGAGTACGACTCATTACCTTTCTGAGGTTGAAGAAGTTGGCTAAGTTGCAATTATTGATAGGAAGCTTGAGTTATATGTAGGAATTGATATTAAGTACATTCGGTATGTAGGTGGTGCATTCAATTGATGGGATTGCAAAGTAGACCATTAACTCGTTGGCTGTAATTCACAGCAGTACAGCATTACATTAACAACAATAAAATGGGCTGACAAACGGAAAAAAGCTAACCTTCATGGGAAATTGGAAAGTGTGGATTTGAACCCAAACAAGGACTATGTAACTAAGCATTTATTGCGAATTTCAGAAAAGAAAATTGGAACATAGCAAAATAGCAAATTAGCAAAAGTGCAAACTTGGAAAATGAGAAATAAGGAAACTTGGAAAATTGGAAATAGAACAAAAGGAAAATTTTACAAATTGGGAATTTGGAAATTTGGAAATTTGGAAATTTGGAAAATCGGAAATACAAAAATACGAAAATACAAAAAAATGGAAGCTTGGAATTTTGGAAAAGTGGAAATAGGAAAAAAGGAAAATTAGAAACAGGAAACTAGGAAATAGGATAAAAGGACACTTGGAAATTTGGAAAAAGCCAAAAAGGACACTTCAAAAATTGGGTCATTGGAAAATAAAGACTCTTCGAAAATTGGAAAATTGGAAATTGAACAAAAGGAAACTTGGAAAATAGGCAAAAGGCAAAAAAGGAAACTCTGAAAACATGAAAATTCGAAAAAAGGAAAATTCGAAAAATCGAAATAGGAAATAGGAAAAAAGGACACTTGGAAAATAGGCAAATTCGCAAATTGGAAAATTGAAAATTGGATAATTGGAAAATTGGACTATTGGATAACTGGATAATTGGAAATTAGGAAATAAGGCAACTTTGAAAATAGCAAAATTGGAAATACAACAAAAGGAAAGTTAGCAAATTGGAAAATTGGAAATAGGAAAAAAAGGAAACTTAGAAAATAGGGCAATTGGAAAAAAGCAAATTGGATAATTGGACAAAAACTGAAAATTGGATAAATGGAAATAGGAAACAGGGACACGTGGAAAATAGGCAAATTGGAAACGAATTGAAATTGTGGAAATGGGAAATAAAACAATTACCATATTGGACAATTTTATTTACTTTCTCAATTAGGCAAAGTAGGCAACTTATTTTAATTACATAATGGGAAAATAGGAACATTGAAAAGATTGGAAAACTGGAAATAGTATAAAAGGAAACTTGGGAAATTGCAAAATACGAAAATGGGAAATAGGAAAAATAGGCAAAAATAATGAAAAATTGGATGACACATGGAAAATAGGAAAATATGAAAAATGGAAACATGGAAACGAATTGAGATTGCTGAAATGAGAAATAAGACAATAACCATATTGGTCAATTTGAATGAGTTGGTCAATTAGGCAAATAGGCAAATCCCTTATTTGAATTACATAATGGGAAAATTACCAAGTTCGGAACATCCAAAATAGAAATATATTAGAAAAAGTCATACAGTGAAGTGGGTAATAACTCCCGCCCAAGACTATCCCGCCTAAGACTCCCGCCAATCCCTCCCGCCAATCCCTCCAATCCCTCCCGCCAATTACTCCCCCTCATTCCTCCCGCCAATAACTCTGTCATTTACTCCATGCTGAAAAGGCTGCCTATTTATTAATCAACCTAGCTGAATGGAAGGTGAAAACGGCAATCACATTAACTGCAGCCATTACCTTCCCCATCAGCCTCACTTCCATCCCTTTATTTCCAATTAAGTCATACAGCAGCCTACAATAAATATCGAAGACCATGGATCATAACCTCACACCAAACCAAACGCTTTCAATTACTGAAGGAGGGAAGATTGAAACAGAAGGCAAGTCACCCAATTCACTCACTGCAGACTTGGTCCATGGCATGCAGCAATGTCGAGGCAATACAATGTTTTGGAAAAATCTCCATGCAGACATAGTTTCAAAAATTGTGGAGGGCCAAGCTAGATGGGGTGTCATAAAAAACCGCACAATTCGCTCTCGTTATCATGCCCGCATGCATCTCCTACATATAAAGGCAATGAAAGGAAAAATTGAAATTGCCCCTGCCACTGCAATTATGGTATTCAAGGAATCAGAAGAAATGGCCAAGTTGAAGCAACAAGAAGTGGAAAGCGGATTCGAACTATTTCGTAAGTTTGCAAAAATAGTGGATCCGGCAGGAAACTGGGACAACATGACTGTGGCCGGGGTCATGAATTTCATGGGTCGTGGTCGCCGCACTTGAAGAGTATGCAACTTCGAATTTGTCAATAGCAGGGAAATGGAACTATGAGGTCGCCTCTTTTTGTATTATGTAACGATGGGGTGGCCTGTTGTTGTAT